CTCCATCCCTCCCTCCCTCCCTTCCTCCCTCCCTCCCTTCTATCTCTCTCCTCTTCCTTCCTTCTCTTCCTGGGGAGGGGTGTCCAGCGGAGCCCCCTGTGCTTTTGGCAGACCACACTCACCTCCCCAGAGTGGCCCCTTTCGCAGTTAACAATAGATCTCTGTGCACACCCGAAGCCATCTTGCTTTTCTATCCCCACCTTTTAAAAAGAAGGTCCAGCTGCTTTTTTCTATGCAAGCCAGTCACTCTGTGTACATGGCTCAGTAGATAATTTGTTTAAAGAGGAACAAGATACTTTATTAAACACCATCTCTTCTGGATTAAAAAAACTGACATGCTTTTAATAATATTTTTGAAGATCTTAACATTTTTGATACAATGAAAAGTAGCTTTGTTTTGTATTTAGTACATGGTCTATAGGGTCTCACTACACAGATTGGACTTGTAGTGATGCTCCTGTTTTTCAGCCTCCCAAGCGCTGGGATTATAAGCGTATACCACCACACCCAGTCTCAGTCAGCTGGGGGAGGTGCAGCATGGCACCCTGGGGATTGAACCCCCATCCCTGTGCCTGCTGAAGCAGGTGCTTTAGTCCACTGAGCTATCTGGTGAGCCCCCGAAAACGTAGCTCTTGCCTACTTTGTTAATGAAACCATGATATTTATTTTTACAGGTATAACTTTGTGGAGCAGTTTTAGGTTCACAGTACAACTGAATGGAACCAAACCGAACCTAGTTTTTTTAGATAGGGTCTCACTATGTAGCCCAGGCTGGCCTCTAAACTGCAGTGATTCTCCTGCCTCAGTCTTCTGCATCCTGGGATTGTAGGCATCTGCAGAACACCCTGCTGTCAGCGAAATTTAGAGGAACGTGTGAAGATTTCCTAAATCCCTGATCCCCACGCGTGTGTGGCCTCCTCTGTCACCATGCCCTACTCAGGTGGTGCTATGCTAATTACAGCCAGGGAGGATATGTGAATGGTGGCCAGCACCCCAAGTGGCTGTTCCCACAGTGCTTGTGCTCCCTGGCTCTGCAGCAAGCCCCGCCAGCTGCCCACCCTCGAGTGTCCTGCAGAGCGGTCTCCACAGGAGACCTCTGAAAGTCCCCACTTCTCTTGTTTGCCCACCTTCCCTCTCTTTAACCCCTGGCCACCATAATTTTTTTGTATTTCATCTAATTTTTTAAAAAAATTCCATTTTTTTTTAAGGTCCATGCTAATAAAAGACACGTAGACACTTTAAAGGTTGCCACACCTAGTCTGTCCCCTGCTGGATGACATGTCATTCCCCTAGGCTGAGTGTGGAGGAGTACTGCTGCACCCAGCATGGGGTGGTGACAGATTAGCCAGGGGACCTGGGGAGCAACACGAGGGCATGGAGTCGGCATGCCATGGTCCTCGGATGTGGACAGCTGTCCTGAGCATTCCCAACACGACATCCACACGGAGCTGTGGGTGCCAACCCGCTCCCGTTGACATCAACTGAAAGGGACTAAGTACGTTTTGTCTGGTAGGCAGTGGCAATTTCTTTAAACATCTGGCAACACTAAGGCAGGCCTCTTAAGACATCTCTTTCCCCTAATTCATTGTCAATCACTCCACTCTAGCTATGTGATCCCAAATCAAGACTAACATCATTTCCAAAAAAAAAAAAAAAATCTAGTTTTTATCATATCAAGCCATTTAAGGTTTGAAAAATAGTATTTATTAGAATATTCAGTTCATTTAGCAGAGATGATATTTAGTAAATTATCTTGGTGGGCTGGCGAGATAGCTCAGTGGAATGAGCGCCTGCTTAGGCAAGTGCAGGGACCAGGGTTTGATCCCAGGTGTTGCGCGGGCCCTGCCCCTGGTCGCCCTGAGCTGGCCATGAGACTAGGTATGGTGGCATACACCTGTAATCCCAGTTCTGGGGAGGTTGAAAAAAACAGGATCACTATGAGTCTGAGCTGCGTTGTGAGACCCTGTACCCAGTACATTAAAACAACAACAACAACAACAACAACAACAACAACAACAACAACAAAACTATCTTGTTTTGCTTCTGAAGAATAATTCCTAAAATTAGTGTTAGTCTAACAAGTAGTAATGGTGTAAGGACACAGGGACCCTAAATTTTCCTGCCCTGGGGAAGGACGGGAACTGATTTTCCCAGCCTGAGGGAGGTGTGCTGACTTCACTGTGTGCGCAGAAAGCTACAGGCAGAAAGTGGCTACGACAAGGGAAAGGGGTGGCGAGAGCCACACACCCTCCAGGTGTTCCATGAGTGTGATAAGCGAAGTGTGTGTGACTGCTGCAGATGGCACTTGGAGGCATGGAGAGCCCATGGAAAACGAGACAATTTGGGGGCATGCCATTAGAATGTGTACCGCGCATCAGTGTAGTATGAGGCTTGTGTTTCCCGGACAAAGTGACATTTCTCATCACAGCAAACACGGAACTCATGTACAGGTTTGCTCTGGCTGCCCAGACAGCCTGTTAGCCCAGGTCACCTCCGCCTCGGGGTTGCAAAAGGCTTCCATACTGCTGGGCTGTGTCTCCATTCCCTTACCACCCATTTCTTTCTCTTCTCAGGCTTAACGAAAAGGTGGTGCCTGTCCATGTTCAGGCCTAAGGAACTTCCCTTCTCTTCTCCATTTTCTTACACTTGACCTTTCAGAAGGCACAACTGCATGCACCTAATAAAACAAGTTGCATCTTGGAATAACTTCTTGCTCTTCTACCGTCTGTTCTCAAGTGATGTGATCCAGGATCCTGATGCCTCCCCGTCTTTATTTATTTATTAATTTTTACATTCTTCCTAGTGGTTTATTGC